CGGTGTAATCACATTTTTGACACAGGCTGGGAAGTCAGTTATTACACTTTACCTAGGATAACTTTGAAAAGAAGTATCATAATAAAATGGAAATTTCCTATCCGAAATCAGCGGCTTTCACTACCATAGTACAAGAGATTTTGGCTTGTTTGGCTGTGTTTCGAAACAGAAGATGGTCTTTGATGGCCTAAAATCCTTGTCAAAATTCCTACCGTAATTCTACAGTAACGAGGAGAGTTAGATGATTCGCTCCATACGCGAATCTAAGTTTATCCTCGCTCTACAGAATGGTACCTAAAGCTCGGCGAAATACTTGAAAGCAAGGGAGTTATTAACGATCAAACAGTGTTAACATTTTTTGACACCCTGTATATAGAAGTACCCAGTGCTCAGTGTGCCCCAAAACTTTTATCATAAATAAAAAAATTAGAATTTCAGAAAGTATACGCCCCCTTCCGTGAGTCGTATAGTTCGCAGAGGCAGGATACGTACCGATGGGTCGTACGTGGTCGTGAATGTGTTAATAGTACGTAACCTTGTAAATTCACCTTTCGTTATAAGATGACCTTGATGCAATGCGTAAAGGGGTGCGGTGAAGCTTTCCGCGCAGTGCAACATTTCATTGCAAGTCTCGGTTCGGGTTCCATATCTATATTGACTTTTTCATTATATTGATCCATTCAATCGATTTCTCGTGTCTCACTTGACTATGGATACGAAAACAGATGGGAACTTGTTTGCAAATGCAAAAAGCAAGCCAATGGCACTATTTTATACGCTGCACGCAGGTTGCATGGCAAATGCTGGTTTGATCAAAGGTTCGGTTCGGTGTTGACGCACATAAAATTAATGACCTGCACGATTTGCTGGCTCGAGAAACCGATAGTACGACCCAAGAAATTCTTTCTGTCACATCTACGGAACAATGAGAATTAGACTATGATTAGACAAATGCAATTATACCATTGATAGACGAAAAATTGGGCAAGGCTTAACGATAAATTATGTGAATGACGCGTATAAATTGTGTGAATCCACTATTTGCTTCCAGCAAGGGAGAAAGGAATGATAATTGTGTGAGCCACTGCTTTTTTTAAGGGAATTCGAATTTTGCTAACATGTATGCAGCAGCCTTTTGTTTGGATGTAAGGTAAATGCTTTAAGAAACCTGATTCGGTGCCAAACATCAAAAAGGCAAAGTTGAGATATACGTTATCCCCTACAACGCAAAAACTTGATTACTGAAACGTCTTGGAATGTTTTTGTCTTGCGATAAAAAAAGATGTGAACGGCGGTCAACGTCTAGGGTCATGCTTGAAATCCTTTCATTCTTATACCATCCTTTGCGCTCACCGAATCGCTCATCACTTGGCCATTTAAAAAGAGACATATATGTATCAGTTGCGGACCGAGGAGGGTTTTTGAAATTTACTTACGTGGATTATAAAAACGTGCAAGTGACTTGTTTATTCTTGTAAGCAGTTATGATAATTTTTGAAGTTTTTTAAAAATTTAAATTAGCCTTATAAAAAAATTTTTTCGGGACGTGACTGACGCCACGCCCTCTTTTCCAGATTTTAGGGGTTGGGGACCCGCAAAATTCTGAGAGTCGCCCCCTAAAATTTTTTCCCTAGTGCTGACTGGCTGACGCCACACACCTTGATTTGAGAAAATTTTCTGCCGCACTCTCCCCGGACGGAAATCGTGGAATCGCCACTGATATGTATATACATATATATCCTGAAATCAGCTTCAAACACTTGTTCCAAGTATGCTATACGTAGCTACGGCGCATTAATCTATAGTTATTGACCCTTTTCTGTGCAAGTGCGCACTCATTGATTTTCAAGCATCACGCCATCATCATGTAAGTGCTGATACACTTGCTTCAAAGGTATTGTCCAGGTCAACTTGGGAGTATTCGGATCTTGACACAGTGTGAGAGCACGGCTCCTGACTAACGCAACAGTTCAAGTGCCATAAAGATGGAATCAGAAGCGAAAATATCGCTTCGGACGAGTTTGCAAAAAAGGGGGCGGTACTCCAATCCCGCCCCCTTGACAAGTTTTGACGTGGGCAATACACTAGATCTTGAGCATTCGCCACGTCAAAACTTGTCAAGGGGCGGGATTGGAGTGCTGCCCCCTTTTTTGCAAACTCGTCCGAAGCGATTTTTTTTTTCATCTTTATTCCATTCCATCTTTATCGATCGCACTTGAACTGTTGCTCAGGAGTCGTGCTCTCACACTTGTCAAGATCCCAATACCCCCAAGTTAACCTGGACAATGCCTTTAAATTCCTCAGTGGAAAAAGATTCTATTTAATGTTAATTCAACATCACAGCACCTTTTTAGGGCAGAATCCTACCTACAGGCAGTCTTTATTTTGAACTAGCTGGCTTACCCGGCTCCGCCGTATCCGGACCAAACTTGGCACACATACACGTCGGGCCCCGGCGGGTGTCACAGTCCACTTTTCGTTATCGATCGATGTCGATTTCACCGATTTTTATCGATTTTTTTGCGGAGTTCACCTACAGGGCTAGGAGTTGGCACAGGGGGGAAGTGAGCATGGGGATTCCGAACACAATATTAGTTTTCAGAATTATCGATTACTTTTATTGATTTTATCGATTTTTTTGTAAAGTTTGACCTGCGGGGCTGGGAGTTTGCACAGGGGGGTAATCGAGCATGCAGATTACGAATACAATATTAGTTTTCAGGATCGTCCATTACTTTTATCGATTTCATCGATTTTTTTGCAAAGTTTGAGCTAGGGGGCTGGAATTTGGCACGGGGGTGTAATCGAGCATGCTGATCACCCCCTTGGGGATGATCAGCATGCTCGATTACCCCCCTGTGCCAACTCCCAGCCCCCTAGCTCAAACTTTAATCGATAAAATCGATAAAAGTAATCGATAATCCCGAAAACCAATATTGTATTCGGAATCCCCATGCTCGATTACCCCCTTGTGCGAGCTCCAAGCCCCGTAGCTGAAACTTTGCAAAAAATCGATAAAATCGATAAAAGTAATCGATAATCCTGAAAACCAATATTGTATTCGGAATCCCCATGCTCGATTACCCCCCTGTGCCAACTCCCAGCCCCGTAGCTCAAACTTTGCAAAAAATCGATAAAATCGATAAAAGTAATCGATAATCCTGAAAACCAATATTGTATTCGGAATCCCCATGCTCGATTACCCCCCTGTCCAACTCCCAGCCCCGTAGGTGAACTCAGCAAAAACGATAAAAATCGATAAAATCGATATCGATCGATGACGAAAAGTAGCCTATGACACCCGCCGGGGCCCGTAGTGTATGTGTGCCAAGTTTGGTCCGGATCGGTTCAGAAATGGAATTTTCTATTCGGAACATACGTACAGACATACATACAGACAGACATACAGACAGACAGACAGACAAACAGACATTCAGCTTTATATATAAGATAGTATGCCTATCTCGCATAGTAAAAAGCTCATAACTCGTTTCAAAATGGTGCTCCACAGCTAGAATTAACATATTTGGAACCAGCTTTTTATGCTGCTTAAGGATATATTTTTTTCTTTCCAAAAAGCCGAGCTATTAGTTTAGGTGCCTTCCTAATTAGTTGGTGTTTGCCCAAGTTTCAAATAAACTGTAACAGCAACGGTGTAAGCTTGGAAGAGTTGTCAGTGAATGAAAACGATAATTTGGCCCTTGTTATTCTGTATAAAAGGAGCTTCTTTCGCATAAAATCAAAACAAATGATACATTTGTTATTTGTATGTCAATAAGAAACAAAAACTAATTGGTCGCTTTACAAAGTTCAAATAGGGCTTCCCTTGAACAAAAGAACTGTAAGTTTTTGATGAACGGCAAGGCGTTCTGCACTAATATATACGCAACCCAAGTGAGCTAGGCCATAGCCAAAGAAGGTTCAATAGACATGTCTAGTGAAGTTTTTTTGAGCATGACTCCGTACGGATCGGTCAGAAAAAGGAGTTGATTAGGCGATAATTTAGCCTTTAATGTACATCTCAAGTCATGCGCCAACAGTTCGTTTGTCTGCTTTCTCGCAAACCACTTAAACGGCGTTTCTCGAACTTCCTGGAAAAGATCCCAAGAGCTGCAATACTAAAACCGGATCCAAATCCTATTTCGATGCGTTTTACAATCTAGTAAACGGCAAGCTGCAGAAACTAATAAACACTCTTTTAATTCTTGGCTTCACTCGGTTCTAGCATGCCAAGGCTTTGACGAACGTGAGGGCAACAAGACGTCAGCCTGACCAAGAATGGATTCTAGTAAGCTAAAAAGAAGACAATCACAAGAATATGTCAAACGTCCTCTTGTCTTGAAACCTGGGCATTCTGTGGTACTGATGGCAATAAACTGTCATTATTTATTAGGCAATAAACTGTCACCGATAACAACCTGTACGGCAAAAGAAAAATATTGAAATCACAAGAATATTTCTAACTGTTTCTAGCGAGATTTTGTCATTTTGTTAGTTTACGCAAACGTAAGAACTTATCAACAACCTGATAAGAATGTGAGACGATGTCAGAATAAAGAATTGAAAGTATTTATTCACCGTGAAGAGATTTCCACCTACTATCCTATTTTTCTTCTTTACTCCCTTCCTCCCCTCCTCTTTGCTAAAAAAACAAAAAGAGCCCCATGTGCAAAAAACTACTTGAGGTATTCTGCATTCACGTTTTCCAAAATGTGAAAATGGTGAGAGTCATGTAAGAGTCAATTATAAAAGAAACTGAGGTTCATGAACATTCCCTAACCAAGCAATGAGGTTCAATGGTAATTTGTCAAATCAAGCTATGTCGTATGGGTGCAGTAGTTTGATATGTAATCAATTAGTATTACTTTGAAAAGGTATTACCATTTGAGCCAATGAGCACCAATAATTGCAAAGCATTTCACTAATGGTCAATTGATTAAATGTTCAAGCACAAATATAATTCAAGAGGCACACTCTTGACTTTTATCTCTATAGAAAATTTATGTAAAGTCTGGCTTGATTCTCGTAGGTGTAGAGGTAGGCTTGGTGATAGTTTTGCGGATTTCAAATGGATGCAGGACTTTGCTACGTATAACAGGATTTCCCAGACCATATATTGCCCATTTTGCTAGATTGAGGAGACTTGTAGATTTTGTGGCTAGATCCATCCAAAAACCAAATCTAAAAAGTACATTGAGATTTTTGTGTTTTCGCATGAAAGACTTACCCTAAATGTAAATTGAAGCATATAGTCATTAGCAAAAAACATATACTCAACAGCAAGAAGTTTTTCACCAACCGAACTTCTCGAGAATTGCCTCTCTTAAAGCGGAGCAAATATAGAGTTCACAACTAACAATCTAACCACAAACCCTCTTTGCGAAAGCATGTTGAGGCGTCAGAACTATGGCTTGTTTACCAGAACGGCGTAGGTAGTAAATTTTCCAGATGATGAGCGTGTCGGTTATAACTATAAACACGACGCATATTCCCTAAATCATCAAGTTTGCTAGAAAGTAGTGGATGTATACGTAGTTTCTACTTAATCAGCGTCAACCTCTTACCTGTAAGATAAGATTTACAATTCGATACACATTTGAGTAAGGCTTAGTAAAGTCGAAATACCAACTATGTGACTCAGTATAGTAAGTGAATGCACACCATCGCGTGAACAAAGGTACTGAAATAAAGCCTTCGGAATTTCCATGGCATATTAAGAAGAAATTGTAAGAAACTTCGTAGGGAATAGCTTTCTAAGCAAACATCAAAGTTTCTTTTTTATACCTTTGGGGGACGAGTGGCGTAGTGGTATGAGGCGCCGCTATGACCAGATCGGACGCAGGTTCGATTCCCGCCCCTGGGCCAACCAAGCCCTCTACCCTCCGGGGTCGGTAAATTGGTACCAGAGTAATCAGGGAGGATAAAAGCACTGACTTGGTGGCTGGCCCCGCAAGTCACTGTATAAGCCCGCACGCATACAATTGCCTCTTCGACCATGAAGAGCCCGCAGAGGGTATTGAAGACGCCGAATCCTTTATCCTTTTATTATACCTTTGCTATAGTATTGCTTGATTCTCCAAGATTTATATAAAACAACTGGTGATATTCCTTTTTGTAAACTATGGCCCGTAGTAAACTCCCACTCATCTCAGGTGACCTGAGATTAGTCATTCAGAAAAACTCCCTTGGGTGCACCTAATCTCGCCCACCTTTCCGTGCTTTAGGATAGCCAGTTCAACAGCCAGAAGACTGTCCGATCAAGCGTCATAGTCAGTTCACCAGAATGCCACTTATCCGAAACTGATTTTAGGGTGACCGAGAAAGATAGTGTGCATAAGAGGAGAATCAGGCAGATTTCCTGTAAGTTGCTCGTGAATAATTTACGGGACAATTCAGTCGACGTATTCTTGAGGTGTAAAACTCCCAAAAACTGCACGATTTCGGAAGACTAAATGGGAGAGGATGGAGAACAGCTGCTGCAAGGAAAGCAAGAAAGATGGTTTCTTTCATTTTTTGTACAGTCGGCTTAGTTTTTTTCTTAAAAATCTGCGTTGAACAAGGATCTATTTACTTATTTCATCTTATTCATGTTCCAAAAATTTCAGTTTTTTGTGGAGTTTTCGTCAAAATATGTTAGTTTTCTTTTATATGTCCATTTGCTAGGCGAAATCGTTGATAGCGAGCACCATTAATTTTTTTCGGTAGTGGCCGTAATCAATGATTGCCCGGAAATGCCGCAAAACTACGCTACTAACCAGCTCTGAACCAGGGCCTTGCGTGTTGAATCCCAATCACTTAGCCGTTCGACCAAATCTACTCAACAAGTTCCGTTTTTTAGAATGCCCAAGATTTCATGTCTAAAAAGCATCCGCATCCAAATCAATCGCTAGATGGACACCGCGCTGGGGGCTCTACGTTCAACGTAGGCCCGCCCCCAGCCAAGCTGCGCTGAACAAGGGTTTACTAGGGGCCTATACGTGGCAATTTTAGAGCTAGTCGTCAGCGACATTCAAACATTTGCTTAAGGCAGCGTCCAGGCAAAGATCCATCAACCCAGATTAGCACATAGTTGTAAACAGGGGACCATGAGTATCCGATCTGCATTGGTCCGATCCTTTGACGTGGCCTCTAAAAAGAGATACGGGCCTGTGATACGTATCACAAACCGCTCCTTCGTATCACAAACCACCCCTGAGGACCAGTGCTCACGCAGGTGTGCAGTTGCATTGCAGTTGCATTGCAGTTGCACTGCACACTGCAATGCAACTGCATCCGTGCAGTTGCAGCTTCTCCCGCTGGCATGCGATGGGGACGAGCAATCCGAAGCTCGTCCGCTCCTTGAAGAGAGGGTCTCCAAGAATCGGGTTTTTGGGGGTTTCGAACAATTTGGACTTTACAGCTGTAATCAGGGCTACAGAAAGGCCCCAGAATGGCAGAAACATGAGAGGCGAAATTTTGCCCGGACTCTGCCTTTAAGCGTTTTCATTGCCCATAGCAACTCGGATTCTGAGATATCATAGTCAAGCAACTGTTAAATCAGAAGGTAGACGATTATTGTCGAGAATGATTTATTGATTTAAGGTTGGAGAGGCTCATTAGCATCATATGTGATAGATGATTAATGTTCAAGCCAATTACTTATTGAAGGGCTGACTTAAACATTAAGTTAGTACCCGAGCTTCCACGGCTGAATTACAGCAAAATATAAAATTGAAGTGAGAACTTTTTCTTGGAAGAGAACATCGAAGAAGTAGACACAGATGTTTTTCACGTCGCGAAATTTTTGGAAATCACATAGGTCATCAAAAATGCGCAAACGACTTGTTTATATTTGTAATTAATTGTCTGTAATCCTACATATCATATGAAGTAACCTACTCGTACAGGACATTGCAACTAGGACTGTCCCAGCGTTGCAGAATGCAAATTGCCTATAGGATAAACCACGAAAGGTTGTTGGCCAGTATATCGCAACAAAATGCATTATGGACAGCAGTGGTAACATAAGCAATTGTACAAACCATTCCGTACTATTGATGAATACAGATAAAAACTGTGTTTGCTCTGCTGAAATGTAACACATGCTAACTCAATGTTGTCTTATTTACAACTCACAGATATCTCTGTCTACGATGAAGCTAGGCAAATCGTGAAGAATAAGGTTGAGATATAAAAACATGTCGACTACCATGTTGGTGACTATGGTAAGGATTATAATGTTTCGAAAGACTTCCCTTGTCTTTACCGCTGCCCAAATTATCAACGCATTTACCAAAATTATGATAGTGTTAACGAAAACAACCATGATGTAGATGCTCCAGTGCGCTGCCATTGCTCTGGAGATGTAAATCTTACAAGGGAAGGATGGTCAGTCGAAGCGGCCTTTTGCGATGACTTGTATATCATTATGTAGGGCATAAAACGCTGATTCCAAATCTGTCTTCCTTATCTGCGGCGCATTCCTAGAGGAGGAGTTATGAGCGTTTATTGGAAAAAAACTGAATGTGCAAATAATATAAAAACAGTAGTAACATTATTCCTAGCGCTTAAATGGGCCAGTGGTAATCTTTTCAACACTCTATAAAATGAATACTTTAAGGTGAGATATATCCACACTCCGGCTGTCTCATTCAACGCTGGGAAAATTTTAGTCAATGTTTTCATCCCAGAAAAATCATTTTTTGCTCCTTCAAACGCTCATAACTCCTCCTCCAGGAAAGCGCCGCAGATAGGGAAGATAGATTTGGAATCTGCGTTTTATGCACTCCACCATGGTATACAAATCATTTCAAAAGGCTACTTCGACCAACCATCCTTCCCTTGTTAGTAACTTTATGACGAAAAGCTTCAAAAGCAAAAGAACTTGAGTGAGAAGTCAAGCAACGTGTGAAGAACTTTTCCCTTCAAAAAATTATTGGCAAATGCTGAACCAAAGTTCTTCGCTTTTCTTTGCACTATGTGCCAAGAAGACTGAAATTAACATGTGAAATGCGAGATATTCTCTGGGTAGAGAGTGCGGCAAAAGTCTGGAAGCCAATTGGCTGTTTGTTAACTACAATACTACGTTGATTTTGATTTAAATTAAACTAATGCTGCCAGCATCATCTACAAACCACACTTTCCTAGCTGAAAACAGCCTGCCACACGCTTTTGTAAAAATTGTATTTACCAAACGAGTGCTTCTACAGAGCGAGAAAATTAGATTCTTTGTATTTACAGCTTATTTCGCAGTTAAAGATAATGCGGATAGCCTACGAAATTTTGATGTACGCAAAAGGAAGAGGAGGTAGGTAGAGGAGGCTTTGTGCTATCACACTGTAGTATAAGCTATTGCATAAGTTTTATCCGATTTTTTGCCTTAAGTTTGAAGCAGCCGTTCTACGAGATTTTCACTCGTAATGCGATACTATTATATTTGTACCATTAGGAAGGAATTTTTGCTCTTGCTAACAAATGTCATATTCTGATGAAATCCCCACTCTAACGGTGTTGCACGTTCTCAGCTAAAAAATGTTCTTGCGAAAAAACCTCCACAGTATGCTCTTCGAGTCAAGTCCATGTCTTGGTCACGGAATAAAGGTGAAATACTCCAGTATATGCAAAGACTCACTTTCAGGTAAAAAACGTCTTGCTAGTAAAATTTCTTGTTGAAGATCTATTATTCGTACAAAACTATTATTCGTACAAAACTTCTACAAGAAATAAGTTTCGTGATTAGAGGCAATCAATGAATCTAATATTGAAGGTGCTAGAGTGAAGCAAGAGCTAAAGCCCATATACCAGTTACATTTCATCCCTCGCAACACTTGTAAACTACAATATTGAAAGTTGGCATACATACATGTACTACAAGAAGTTGACAGACGGCTTTGTTTTCACTCGCTCAAATATATTTTTCGGCACAAAACCCTGTGGGCACTTTTAGGCTAAAAATAATCTTCGAAATTTTCTCTATATATTCTTGGCCAATTGATGTGCCTGTCAGCTCTCATAAGGGAGCACGGCCATGTTAAAAAAGAGTTTGAAGGAAAACGCTCTGAAGTTTTTAATTTCTTGTTTGTTCTTCAACAGAGTTTTTCGTAAGCACTAGTATTCCTCTGATAGCACTAATCGACATGTAAACTAAGATTAAAGGAAAAAGTTGATTTTGAAGGAAGTTATGATATTTCGGATTTGAACATTCAAATCGGACAGAACTTATGCAGTAGCCTGATAGTTGCGATTACCAGGTATTATTTTTTTGAAAAACTCAGTCAAAATTTGCGGATACTACCTGCGTGTCAGAGACCATCTGTTTTCAAAACAAATCTGAAAGCTATAGAAGCGCAGCAGGCACTGAGTTTTGGCTATATTCTTTAGCCTTTTATGTAAACATCTAGCTGATTTGGTCGATGCAGCACCTTCGACACTTGAAAGCTTAGAATTTTTCGCTTTCTTTCGCGCAATCGCATCCAAATTTCCGGTAAGCGAGTAACCTGTCTTCATTTCGAAATGTAAAATTTTTCTCTGAACATTTCAAAAACATTTGTTCGTAATATGTTGTAGCCAATAACTTGCTTCATCATACTGCAGATTTGGCTGGTGAAGGAAGAAGTTATCTTGATTTGATTCGTAGGCTGCATGCCACGACAGGTGGACTCGCCAAAACTTTGAAGGGTAGCTTTGAAACTATAAGAGACAACCTCAGGATTTGAGAGCTGCATTTCGTAAGGTTCGAATTATGTGTGCACCAGATATAGATTTGTTTCTACGTACTTTCCTTCTGATTTTATCTGAAAAAACATTAGGCTCCCAGACTTTTGCGGCTCCCTGTAATATCAGTGACAACACCCAACAGTTGATGATATAACGATGCTCAGCAATAACAGAAAATATGAATTCATTCTTCCCCCTGGGTAAGACTATTTGATGATTTTTCTTAAAAGTTGCTGATGCTGGCAAAAATCTGCACTCATTTTCTTTATTTTCCTTATCGTGAGGCATGGTTGATTTGTAAGCATGCCTTAGTTACATAAACGCTCGAATAAAATTATCATGCTTTTGTTCGTGCCCATCTTAACACAAATTGACTGCACTTAAAAAGTAAGTTCGAAAAAATTGCAAGTTATCTCATAGAAACATTTTTAACTGCGGTTTGAATTGATTCGAAGAGACGACGAACTGGAGCAAAAATGTGTAAATTATTGTCTGTCTAGACCTAAATCCAGGTGCTTTTCAAAGCTTGCTTGGCATTTGGTGACTAATCCAGTCGGAAAACAAGTTTACTTTTAAAACAGAACAGTTGCCATGGTCTTGTTGCTTTTCAGTAGGAAAAAATGTCAATGTTCAAAAATTTAGAGGAACTCTTTCATTTTGGACTTGACACCTAGCAATGGCACAAAATGATAAATTAACGTGAGAGATCAAAACAGCTTTGTTGTATAGTCTACGAGCGTAAAGGAGGTTTGGTTTCTTACGGTGGAGAGTCGTCATGTCTGACCTGATATTTTGACGAAGGTAGTCCCAGCCAGGGCTCGGCACGAGGTGGCTAGTTGAAAATGCAAAAAACGAAGTCCTCCTTGACTTCGCAACAAAAGTACGACATCCCCCTTGACCGCTAACGAACAAATCAAACTTGAAAACAAAAAGGATGGAAAAGACTACAAGACAGACAATAAATAGGCAAGAAAAACTAGTAATTGTTTGTATTCTTCGGGTTGGCGGCATGCTGTGTCCGCCGCGCACAACCGCGAGCTTGGAGCAGCTTTGCCGCTTTCATCCAGATAATTAGGAGGGCTATAACTAAGCGGGGAGTAGAGGGTTTGGGGATGTACAAGAGCTGTTTTGTAGGGCATTAGATGTAGATTAATTTTATGTAAAAAATTTGAAAAAATTATGTGAAGAATAGGAATTATATGACTTTGTTTGCGTAAGCCACCTCAGGTGGCTATCCAGGTGGCTTGAAAGCCACCTAACCCCGAAAAAAGTTTGCCATGCCCTTAGTTCACATAATTTTTTCATAATTTTTCACACATAGTCCCAACTCCCCATTGCCCATCTACACACCTATTTTGGTGCCATTTCATCTTCACTTCGCTGTAAACAAACCCTTTGTTTATTTGCTGGCGGCATGCCGGCAGCGTGCCGGCAGCAGATCGAAAGACAGTGTTATGCTCTTCCGCAGAAACGATATCCCCTTTGCTTATTCCCCCAAAAACGATATCCAGCTTGCTTTGCAAGCCACCTGTGCCGAGCCCTGGTCCCAGCAGACTTCATTTGTATGTTTTCGTTTTCAATATCAGCCGGCTAATGTAAACATTTTCTCCGACACTTACCCCCCCCCCCCTTGTTAAGGGAATTATTTAATGGTGATATACGAAAGAATTACAGCAGGGAAGGTTGATGTCGCAATTCTGGGTGTGGAGCTGACATTTCGTAATGGACGAAAAGCAAAGAACCGTTTCCTGACAATAGGAACTCACCATATGTTTCTGAGCTTTTTCAAATGACGTGATGTGTCCGTAGTCGGTTTGAGGAAGCATGAGACAAACAGCTTGCTCCTTTTTGCAGAAATAATCTCGTAAACATTGTTGCACGCTATTGCGCAGGACCCACATATTAAGTCTTTTCGAAAGTAACTTCGCTTTTCTCATGGAGCGCAACATCCCGCAAAACAAAGATCCAAATTAGATCTTAAATGCATTCGAAGCAACTTTTTATCCTTATTCAAATAATGTTTTAGTCATTCCAGTTCAACCAACGAGCCGCAGAAAATGGCAACCGCTACAACCCATACTTTCTGTCATGGTCAAGATTAAGAATTTCCAATTTTTATACCATCCCCTTGGAGAAGTCCAAGCAACGGGTGGACAGAGCAAACTTTACAGGACACGAAGCAGTGTTTCAGCTTTACACATCTCGCCATGACCTTTTGGTAATTTTCGTCAAAACCAAACGCACATCAGACATCAACAAACTTTCGAAACTTGAACTTCTAAAAATGGACTATAGATAAGCACAAGTTTCACAAAGTAAATGAGCGTCCAGGACTCGGAATAATAAACTGGATTTTTTGGGTACTTCATGGTGCCCTGAAAACTGAAATTATGTTGAGTTTATTTCCGAAGACTTGAATTGAAAACGAATTATACTGTTTTATAAGAGACTAAAAAGCTGCATAGACCCGCATTGCTCAGTGGTTGATGGTCTATCAAGTTTGAGCTGATCAAACGTGGGATTTGCATCAAATAAAATTCTATAAATCTGGCTAGCTATGGAATAGAGGACATATTTAAATCCTGCAAGATCTGCTCTATCTATCGTTACTTGCAATTTTTCGGGAAGTCGCTAGTAAAACTAAAGAGACGAATCGCAATTTTTGGTGATTTTTTGAGAGCCGTTGAATAAACTGCAAAATAGATAAAGCCGACTGAAAGGGGATGGAAAGCTGCAAGGAATGCGCTGAAATCTATTTGGATTCCTTGTTCTGCGGGATGTTACGTTTGTTGAGCGAAATTACTTCTGCAACGACCTAATACATAACCTTCAAAAAAAATTTTTGAAGAGGAAGCGAATTAGCTTTCCAGGCGGCGCTGTCAGAGAAAATGGCTACTTGGACGCAAACAATCATTCAAAAAGAGGAATACCAACACAGCATTTGATAAATATATACGATAAATGGGGACATGGTGGCTACGGAGTTATTTTGACCGGCAATGTCTGTGTCGACCCGGTAAGCAGTGATCTAGAGTTTACTTTTATCACTGTTATGATCCAATGAATAGTATATTAGTGCAACCTTGAAAGCGCAGGATATACAATTATGTGCAAAGAGAATGCATTGTTTGAGCTGAAAAGTGCATTCGCCGAAATGGCCGACATTTCCAAAAGCGATGGAGCTCTGATTATGGCGCCGATCTCTCATGTAAAAACCTAGGGTTTCCTACAAGTTATAAATAATGTTTTTTAGGCTGGCCGTCAAACTCCATTGGCCGTCAACGAGCATCCTTATTCTGTAACAGATGAGGAATCAACAAGCAGTTTCGTCACTGCCGGCAAACCAGTAGCCCTCAGATTGGACCAAATAAAGACTGAAGTTGTTGATAGATTTGCGTACACAGCGAAATACGCGTATGACACGGGTTAGCACACTTCAGATATCAAATTTTTGCCTCCCACTAATTTTTTAGCTTCAATATCAAGAATCATGCCGTTAGGGTAAACTTTATAGGTTTTAGCGTTGAAATACATGCTGCTCATGGATTTTTGTTGTCCCAGTTCCTATCTCGTTCAAGTAACAAACGAGGAGACAAATACGGCGGGCCTTTAGAAAATAGGACGAGAGATTGTACAGACTTATGAAGAAATCAGGTAAAAGGAAAGATAGTCTTACCTAAGATCCTCTACAATGTGTTTTTTAAGAAAGATAATACCAGTGTCGGCGAAATTTGTCATTGGCATCAAATTGAATTTGATAGAGTTCCAAAATGATGGGTTGACTGTAGAAGAATCTACAGCCATTTGTTCTATAATGGATGTGTGTTCTAAAACGCTTGGAGTGTTTTCGAGCTTACTCCAATTCAGAGATGCGGCTTTGACTTCATCGAATTGACAGGGGGATCACTCTTCAGCCCATCCAGATTCTAAGATGAATCTGCTAGAAAACGTGAAGTTTACTCTGCTGAGTTTGCAACCAAGATGAATGAGTCCATAAAATTTCTGACCATACTGTCTTGATGTAGATTCATTCTATGATCAAGAATACCGTACTATACGTAACTGGAGGCTTCCGTACAGCAAAAGCCATGGTCGATTGCATAAAAAAAGGTTTTACTGATGGCATTGGATTGGGAAGACCAACCACAGCCGAGCCAGGTTTGGAGAGGAAATTTGCTTCTAGCGTTGAGCCTCTCAATTGCACTGATATGTGCCGCAGTTCTTTCTCATTTTAGTAGGTTGACAAGGCTTCAACCAAAACCTTTGATTTATTATTATACTTTCGAAAAGAAAATGATGCAAAGTTGTGTGGTTTGTGTTTATGTGCTGTAAGCCGATGTAGCTAGCGTAGCGGGGCAAAGGTCTTCAGGCTGGTCGAGCTGTTAAACTGAAGGTCGAGTCTTTCAGATCTACCCAACAAAATTCTCAAGAATGTTACTCAGCCGCTGTTAGAAGTTGAATCAGCATGATTACGTGACTTATTTGGTCTGTACTGCTCAATTGGAACAAATGGTGAAGCGGCCATTATCTCAGCTAAAAAAAGTACAACTTTTTTTCGACAATTTTCTTACAACAATCTGATTCCTTACTTAACATATGCAATAATATTGCGGATTTAAGCCAGAGGGAGCGGAAAACTTCAAAAAACTGGTTGTCGGTCATGCTCAAGGAATTGCCAAACTCAACGAAGAGCAAAAACCTGTTTATGGGGTTTTACAATACGAAAATCTATTTTGAGCAGAACATTTGTGGTATAGAAGATCATGTGCAAAAGTAACCCTTTTGAACAACGCAGCTCTCTGTTACACTTTTACATAAATGTTGATCATGACGTAATAAACATTGATTATAAAATTGGTCTAAATGTACACTTTCTAAGTGGGTTTGTTAATACTCTATAAAAGCGGGATAAGAACGATGGTATTTCCATTTTTCCCCATATTACTCTCCCTGTAAGAATTTCCAGAAAATGTCTAATTGCATTTGACTGAAACTTTCTCGAGACTAAATAAAATCAGTTTATGATAGATCGACAACCATACCACGTACAACCCAATAAAAGGTGCAGATAAGGAAAGAATTATTTTAGGAATCGGCATTTAGAATGCCTTTCTCAGAGCACGCAATGCAGAAAGAATTGTATAGCTCAAAATTTTTCGCATTCATAAGGTATTAATGACCACTACTGTTACTTACCCTATAGAAAAATCATTCAGCCCTCAAACTCGCGTCAGATAAAGCACTCCTCCACACGCAAATGCATGTTTATGCGTACTCTCAAGCTTCTTCTCAAAAGATGTATAAGTTGAGCAGGGCACCAAATCTGCTGGTAGCAGCAACAACATTGCAAAAAGTTCTTGACAATTTTTCAAAGTATCCTGATTAAGAACAAGAACTCGTTCCTATCTAAAGAGCGAGAGTGCATATTTTATCAGAAATGAGGCGGTAGCAAAGGAGCCTTGAAAAAATAGTATTCATATCCTCCTACCATGAAGTAAATCTAACTGGAAACTTCCGACCAAATTGGCTTACCACTTCCGAAAGATCAAAGATTAAAGTTCACCTGCTAAATGAACTAACAAAGATTTAATGTATGCAGGTTACGTTAATTATACGTCTAATTTTGATTCTCCATATTTGCAAAGCTTTGTGTTATTTCCATTGATTCAATGAATGCTATATCTGAAATAATATTCTAATATTTCAAAATTGAAGAGATTGTACGCGAAACCGTTGAGCGCTTTTGTAACCACTGATATCAAAGAATGACCCCCACAATGGTCGGTCGCCTCATCGTGGCGTGGGGGTGACACTGGGTGTCGAACTGCGATGCACAGCCGAGTGTATACTCTGGTAGGGCCTCCCAAGCTGTGAAGGAGTTCGACGTTTCCGGTTTCGGCCGGATGCCTAGCTAAGAACTGGCCGCGCCAGATTCTTCGCCGTCTGGCTTCTTCTGGTCGCTAGGCGGTCCCTCCCCGCTCCAAGCCCGGGGTCAGCGATCACCCCGTGGAAATCAAGAGTAGGCCTAGTAAGCCACCTCTTGTAGGGGAACAAATTTTATTACTCAGACAGCAAGAAGATTTAGAAAAAACCCTGTACATCGGATCCCGCCTACGGCGCCGGGTGGTAGCAAGAACGATGTCAGGGTACTCAGGGCGCCTTTCGGATTGGACAAAAACGACACGTCTGCCCGGACGACACGCCATGGAGACTGCCTCATGCTCTGCACTTACAACGCCAGGACAGTCTCCACAAACGCCGACCTCCACGCTCTTCTCGACGCTGCAGAGCACATCAACTACCACATCATTGCTCTGCAGGAAACGAAGTCCAGGAAGAAGGACGTGCGACAGATGAGTGATGGGACCCTCATCATTCGTGGTGAAAAGGTTCCATCACGAAACGTGGGAGGCGTCGGCTTTGTCGTCCACCCATCTATCGTCCATCTTGTCGATTCGCACGAGATCCTATCACCTCGACTAGGCATCCTACGACTACGGCCTCCACATCAGAAGACCATCAGCATCATCAACTGCTATTCTCCAACATCAGCAGCTGACGAATCAGAACTAGATGCTTTCTACGAAGATGTGGAGGAGGTCGTCCGCAACGAGAAGTCCTTTTACAAGTTTGTTGTGGGCGACTTCAACGCGAAAATCGGGATGCCATTGGAAAGGTAATATAGGATCGGGAAGTTTGGATATGGGCTCGGGAACGAAAACGGCAACCGTCTTGCTGGGCTTCTCTCCGCCGCACGACTTTTCCATGGAAATTCCATCTTTATGAAGAAGGAACATCGCCGGTGGACATGGGAATCGCCCAACGGAACGACCCACGCGGAGATCGACCACATTCTCACCAACCGAAGGTGGAGCTTACTCGATGTCTCTGTAGTTCCATCCTTCTGTAGTGGCTCCGATCACCGCCTCCTTCGAGCGAAGATACGACTCAGCCGAAGGCTGGAAAAGAAAGTCTGTCATAGTGCCGCGAGAAGGAAGGAAGTCGTTTATGACGGTAACAGGCTGGAAGAGCTCATATCAAGTTGTGACTGGCCCATCGAGGAGGACCCAACGTACGACTACGACCGGCTTCTGAAAGGATTGCGAGCCTGCGGAGAATGCGCCTCAGTGACTTCTGAGAAGAACTTGGACCGCATCTCGAAGACCACCAAGGCATTGCTCGAAAGAAGAAGATCATTGAGGCAGGATCCGAATGCAACTCATCTCGAGCGACTGATTGCCAACACCAGTTGCAGAACAGCTTTGCAAGAGGATCTCAGGAAGTACAGGCAAGCCAAGATACTGGAAGCAGCGGAAAGAAGACGAAGTCTCAAGAAGTGCCGAAGGGACCTCTGCGAATATCACGTACCGCTGGCTGCACTACTGAACGAAGACGGGACTCCGACTTCTTCCCGATACAAGATGGAATCTATCGCGAAGAACTTCTACACCAACCTCTTCCGCTCATCAACACCTGTGCAGATGCCCGTTGTTCCCACTGGAGAAGTACCACCACGAATTCTACCTGCTGAAGTGCGTATCGCGATACAGACCATGAAGACGTCCACGGCTCCAGGACCAGATCATCTTTCCGTCGAACTTCTGCGAGCCGGAGGACACCGTCTACACGAGATTCTAGCGTCGCATTTGACATCTTACCTTCAGAAGGAGAAGATTCCCGACCAGTGGAGAACGTCAAGAACCGTCCTTCTCTTCAAGAAGGGTGAACGGGAGGATCTTCGGAACTATCGTCCAATATGCTTGCTGAGTGTGCTGTACAAGCTTTTCACGAAGATTATCCTCGCTCGCATATCAAGGACACTGGATGAAGCCCAACCCCAAGAACAAGCTGGATTTCGCAAAGGATTCAGCTGCATGGACCACATCCAGACCGTTTCGAGGGTCATAGAAGTCTGCCGGGAGTACCGACTGCCTCTCGTCCTAACCTTTGTCGACTACGAGAAAGCCTTCGACAGCGTCGAAACCAACGCCATCCTGTCTGCGCTAGTCGATCAAGGAGTGGACCCAGCTTACGTGAGGACGTTAGCCGACTGCTACAAGGACTGTACAACGACGATGCAGCTATTCCATCGCCCCCTGACCATACCAATCGGGAAGGGGGTCCGACAAGGCGACACAATCTCGCCGAAGCTGTTCACCGCGGCCTTGCAGTGGGTGATGAAGTCACTGGACTGGGACGAGAGAGGCATACGAGTTGATGGGAGATTCCTGTCCAACCTTCGTTTTGCGGACGACATCGTTCTCTTCTCGAGCAGTATCACCGAAGCAGAGACGATGCTGAAGGAACTAAACGAAGTAGGGAAGAAGATCGGACTGCGAATAAATCGGAAGAAGACTCAGTTCATGAAGAACGCCCTTTGCGAAGATGCAGAAATGGAATTGGAAGGCACCCCGATTATGGAGACGTCTT